GCCCTGGTGCATAGCTTTTATCCTTGGATCTCCTTCACTGTCATTCTGAGCCTCCCTTCTCTCTGTTGAATTAAAATCCCCATTCCCAATCCTAGGTTTTCTCCATTACTGTTTTATTCTCTCATTGTGGTGGCAAAAATCCCCTGAAGCTCCTTGATAAAGAGGACACGATAAATTGTGGAGTCCCAAGGTATCTACATTTGTCACCTTCACACTTGATTATTTTGTTATGTTTAGATTCTATACTGGAAATAATTTTCCTTCAGATGCATCACTTCATTATCTTCCAGCCTCCAGTCTTGTGTCTGGGAGTTTTCAAACCATTCTCATTCCTAATATTTGGTAAAGTGACCCTTTTCTTTTCTTACTCCCTGGCAGTTTGCAGAATCTTCTCTTTCTCTATAATTGTTTTGAAATATTTTTGTGGTGTAAGTCTATTTTCATCCATTATGCTAGGGAAATTGATAGGTCCTTAGAAGGTTGTATAGTTCAGTTCTCAGATTTTGTTTTTTCTGTGAATTATTTAATTGAGAATTTTCTTTGTATTTTGGGTTTTTTTTTTATTGCATTTTAGGTTTTGGGGTACATGTGATGAACATGCAAGATTGTTGCATAGGTACACATGCACACGAATGTTCATTGCAGCACTGTTTACAGTAGCAAAGACCTGGAACCAACCCAAATGCCCAACGATGATAGACTGGATAGGGAAAATGTGGTACATATACACCATGGAATATTATGCAGCCATCAAAAATGAGGAGTTCACGTCCTTTGTAGGGACATGGATGAACCTGGAAACCATTATTCTCAGTTTTTTGTTTTTTTTTTTTTAAGGAGATCAGGTCGGGGGCTCCTCTTATTGAGATACTGAGAGTCCTGGACTAAGTTTCTAACTTTCTTGTCTATTTTCTATTTATTTTTCTTTCTACTCTGCTTTTTAGGAAATCTTTAACATCTAAGAAAAAATATATATTAAAATTTTTTGTTTTAATGGGCTTTTTTCCCCTCTGAATATTTCTTTGTTATACCATCTTGTTCCTGCTCCATAGATGAAACAGATTCCTTGTCTCTCTGAGAATGTCAATAGTATTTTGTAAATGTTTACTTTTCCTTGAATAATTTGACTTTCTCCAAGTTTTTTTTTTCCTTTGTTTGTTTTGACATTACATTTCTTGGTAGAGATTTTTCTTAGATTATCTGCTCAGATTTAAGAAGAAGTGATTAAGAAGCTGATTGGAAATTCTAAATGTGGGTGTGAAGCTGTGATACTTGTTAAACTTGAGCGTTTCTGTTGGATGATGTGGCTGCAAAATTTGGTAAAGAGCTTCTGATAGTAAGATTGCTAGGTCTTTCTTCTTAAACTGGCCAAATTTTCCACAGAAGATTCCTTCATTTTCTTCTCTGGAGAGTAAATGACCGCCCTCATCCTTGGAGCTGAGTGAAGAAAATTGTTCGTACCAGAAGAGTGGACTTGGAACAAAGGATGTAACTTTTTGATATGGCTGTCATCCTGTCTTCTTTATTTTACCAATCTTCCCTTGTCTTCAGTTTTGAGCTACCTGACTGCATTTGCCAGGATAGGTTATTGGTATTGGTAATAAGCAAATACAAATTATCTATGCCTTAAAAGAACAAAGTTGTATGGTATGCCATCCATCGAAGGACCCAAGCTAAGGGGTGTCTGTCTCTGCACTTTCATATTAGCCAAGGTAGAGGAAAAGGGAACTTTGTAAAATATACCCCACCTCTTGAAACATCTACCACAAAAAACACTGACCACATTTTCTTGGTCAAAGTAAGTCACATGGCTGCTCCTTACTTCAGAGGTGTGGAAAAGTACAATTGTATAATATGCCTGAGATGAGAACCCATAAATATTGGGTAAATAGCACAAATGACTCTTTATCTTGCTGCTGATAGTTCCTGGGTCTTTTTAGCATCCTGAACTACAGATTGGTTTGTTTCCCAGTTCTCTGCTGCTGGTTTAGGATTTGTCTTTTTAGGTCTGCTAAGCCTGTTACCACTTGTCCATGTTGGTATCACTGTTGTCTTTTCTCCTGTAGTTCCAGTTACTTGGGATTATGTATTAAAAATATTTTATTATTATTATTTATGTTTTTGAGACAGAGCCTTTCTCTGTCACCCAGGCTGGAGTACAATGACACAATCTTGGCTCACTTGCAACCTCTGCCTCCCAGGATTAAGTGATACTCCTGCCTCAGCTTTCTGAGTAGCTGGAATTACAGGTGCCCACCACCATGCCCAGCTAATTTTTGTATTTTCAGTAGAGACAGAATGTCACCATGTTGGCCAGGCTGGTCTTAAACTCCTGACCTCACATGTTCCACCCACCTTGGCCTGCTGAAGTGCTGGGATTGCGATGTTAGCCACCATACCCAGCCAAAACTTGGGTTATAATTTTATGTAAACTTAATGAGCTAACTCTGCACCTTTGCAATGTTAATGCAAATATGTTTAAAGAATATGGTACTTTATAAAATATATTATATTACAAATGTATATTGATATGAACATTTTGATTTTTCAAATATTTTTCAAATATTTCGCTGTATATTGAATTTTAAAAGTTGCTTCTAAATGAAAACATAGCAACAAATAGTCATCTGTTGAGTTTTGAAAAAACAATTTGTTAAATTTCCCAGAGCTGTATTACTTACATGACAAATCCTTTTGCAAGTCAGAAAGCTTCAGATTCTTTGCTTTTATCAAAATCAGAATAATGACAAGTGAGTTGTTTTTGCAGTTATCCATTGCTACAAAAATGCTGCCTTGCAAAGAAGCACAAATTTCAATGACTAAACTTCGTTTTTTTAATTTCATTTTTTTTTTCTTGTGTGGCTTAGTTCATCTAGGCTGGTATTGCTCTTGTACCTTTGGTCAGTTATGGAAAGCCAGATAGCTATACTTTTGGAAGTGGGCCAGCTGCCAGCTGGGGTGTCTCAGCTGTACTCTTTGTGGTCTCTTATTTATGAATATACTTTCCTGGACTTGTTCTCGTGGTGACAATAGCGTTCCAAGAGAAACAGCAAAACCTTTTAAGTTTTAGGCTTAGATTCTCACACACCACACAGTAATCTTTGCTGCATTTTGTTTGCCAGTATAACTCACAAGGACAGCCCAGATTCAAGGGGTGGCAAGATAGACTCGTGATTGGAAAACTCCCAGTTTCGAATTGCAGAAGATGTGGATACAGGGGAAGGGGAAAACTAGGGCTGTTTTTGCAGACTCTGAGTTCCAGCGTTTTCAAGTGATTGTTAGCAATAAGGTTTGATGATAAAAATATAAAATGGTTATACATCTCAGAAGGAATTTAAAGAATTGAGTGACCTTGTAGAACTAAGCTCCTTTAGTTCCTTGTTATAAACAGATTTTCCCAGTTCTTACACGTAAGCAACCAATTTTCAACTAGTACCTAAAACTCTCATTCAAAAGTAGCCCTTCTATATTACTAAGACATGATTTCCAGTACAACCTTTATATTTTATAATCAATAATTACTTATAAAATTGAAAACATATTACATTTATAAAACATTTCAAAAAATCTTTTTAACACTTAGGTCTTTACATATTACACAAAAGAATAAAATGATGAAAAATAAACTAACAAACATAAGAATATATTCCATTACAGTAAATTTACATGTGGAGATAGTGGAATTAATGTAAGTTCAAGGGGAAAAAGAAACTATGGAAAGTTATAATGGTTAAAAGAAAGCCTTTTACCTATTTTTAGTTTGGATATTGGTGGACGGCAAATCACTGTTCCACTGGATGTAGTTAAAAGAATGATATAACTCTTTTCTTTCAAAATGATATTACCTATAATGGGACACTAAATATATTCTTTCCAATTATATTTAGCCTGAAAAGTTTCAGATGTCAATGGAAATGTAGAAAAGATTATAGAGTTAAAAAATACATACATAAGCATGTGTATGTGTGTACATTAGGGACCTAAGGGGAAAATTGCTCTTAGGTGATGGTTTTGTGGCTCATAGGACTTCATCACCCCGATCTCTTGTTCAGCCTTCCTCTGGTGACCTCAAGAACCCTCCATTCAAATATTACTCTTAAGAAAATGAATCTTTACCTAGTTTTAGAAAATAAGTCTTTTCTTATTTTCTTAAAGAAAAAATTCTTTTAAAAGTTTTTTTTTTAATTTCTAAGTGCGTGATTACTTTTATTTATAAAGAATAAATTGTAAGAGCCATTACAAGTTTTATTTGACTCTGTCAATGAAACTGTAACACCTTTAGCTCTGAATGAGTATTCCACCAAGGAGTATCACTGAGATCTCTTGATTTCTTGAGGTCTACCATCATCTGTCCAATGAAGTAGACAGTAGACAGTAGATACATGTGTCTAGCGCAGATTGAGATGTAAGTGTAAAATAAGTTGAATTTTGAAGATGTACCACGGAAAAATTATGTAAATATAAAATCGCTAATTATTTTTATATTTTAGATATATTGGGTTTCACAAAATATTAAAATTAATTTCATCTACTTTGATTTACTTTTGTAGTGTGGCAACTGAAATGTCTGAAATTACATGTGTATTTTGCATTATAATTTCTACCGGACAGTGCAGATCTAGCCCAAAAATCAGAAGATCTAGGGCTCACTGGAAGTCCTTTCTCTTACAGTTTCCTCCTTAAACCATTCTCTATTCCACAAAGTGAAAAGCCGCATGACGTCTTTTTTAGGTGAAGTCTTCTCCCATACCTTGCAGGGCTTATGAGAGTCAAGCTATCAGATCAAATCATTATTCAAGAGCTACTCAGAAAATAAAACATAACACTTCATACCAAAAGTGCCTACTGTATGCAGTTATTAGACAGAGCCTAGAAGATGACCAGAGAGAGAGGTTCCTGGAAAACACTGGCGTCCTGAGGAGAAGGTGTGTTCTTGGGAGGCCTTTATTGTGAAATAACTTATCTGCCTTTTTTTTTTTTTTTTTTTTTGATTATTTCAGAACGCTGTGATGACTGGGGACTAGACACCATGAGGCAGATCCAAGTGTTTGAAGATGAGCCAGCTCGCGTCAAGTGCCCACTCTTTGAACACTTCTTGAAATTTAACTACAGCACAGCCCATTCAGCCGGCCTTACTCTGATCTGGTATTGGACTAGGCAGGACCGCGACCTTGAAGAGCCAATTAACTTCCGCCTCCCTGAGAACCGCATTTCTAAGGAGAAAGATGTGCTTTGGTTCCGGCCCACCCTCCTCAATGACACTGGCAACTATACCTGCATGTTAAGGTAGCCTGATTCTTGGCAGTGACTTTCTCTTTTCCCCTTAGTTACTGGGCTTTTTTCCAGATGATCCATGTGCTAGGAAGCTGGGTAGAAGTCGAAAGCATTCAGATAGAATTTAATCAGGTAATTCTCCCTTGTTTAGCTGAAGGAGGTATGCAGAGAAAACGGCTGTGGCCCTTAGAATGTTCTTGGAGGGAGTTTCTTTCCAGAGCCTGAGACATATCGAAGTTGTCTAAAAGTGGAGCCTTGTTATTTGTCCCTTCTCATGACATCAAGACGTGCATACCTTTATGCTCACCTGGAGGCATCCATTTCTCTAGACATTGAACAGGGCGGGGAATAGAGCTCATTTGTATCTGTTACTCTTGGCATCTTTCAAAGTACCTGACACAGAAGAGAAATTCAGGGTCCATTAATACATGTGATGACTCCCAAATATTCTTTTACTTTTTCAGTGTGGAAACTGAAATGTCTAGAATTACATATGTGGTTTGCAGCATAATTTCTATTGGACACTGCAGATCTAGCCCCCAAATCAGAAGACCTAGAGCAAACTGGGAATCCTCTCTCGTTTGCCCAAGGTTTGCCTTTTCAGTTACAATTTCCTCCTTAGAACTTTCTCTGTCATAATGTTCTCCCAAATATTCTTTTGGGGGGCATGACATGTATGCATGTATGACAATGCTTTTTAAATTTCTACCAAATTTCCCCTGAGAAGCACGAGATTACCATATCTCTGGCAATCTAAGAATATAACCCAAGCAATTTACCATTACTGTAAAATTTCTTTCAAATCCCTTTTTTCCTTGAAAGTTTTGTAGATTATATATTTTATTCTACAGTATTCCTTTTTTAAAACTGCACTATTGTCATTTTTGCAAAAACAAAACAAAAGAAAAAAATTAATTTAAAAAACCTGAGGCTTCATCAAATAATAGCCATTTTCAGGGTTAATTCTAATTCCCACAGTCACTTTTTAGCTACCAGGCTTGGCTTTGTTTTCTAAACTCCCAGGATTATTTGTTTTTAACAATTTCGTGCTATTTAACAGATGTGTTGCGTTGCTAGGGCTGCAATTACAAAATACCACAGACTGGGTGACTTAAACAAACAAAATTACCTTCTCACAGTTCTGGAGGCTGGAAATCCAAGATCGAGGTGTTGGCAGGGTTGATTTCATTCTTGGTGCCTCTCTCCTTGGCTTCTATATGGCCATCTTCTTTCCATGTCTTTACATGTCTTCCCTTAATCTCTTCTAATAAGGATGCTAGTCATAGGGGATTAGAGACCACCCTTATGACCTCATTTTAGCTCACTTATGTCTTTAAATTTTCTGTTTTTAAATACAGTCACATTCTCATGTACTGTGAGTTAGGACTTTAGCATATACCTTGGGGTGGGGTGAAACAATTCAGTCCATAACAATAAATAATCACAGATGTTTTTGCTTTCATGAAGAGTAACTATTCCCTGATGGAAAACTATTACTATGCTTTGGTAAATGTAAGCTAAGTTATGATTATGTGGAAAAGAACCTCCTTTCTATCACAGAAAAGCCTTTGGACTGCTGTGTTCTTCGGGGTTGGGGGTGCAGGGGAGTGTCTATAACCTCTGAAGGCCCTTCTGAGGCTCTCATAGGAAACTTCTATTTTATTGGAGTGGATTTTAGACTGGTATATGGATTTCTGAGGATCCTGAAGTACTCACGTTCTTATAATTTAGGTTCTAATACAACTTGGTAGAAATTAAAGCAGATTATAGTGGAAAGAGCATTAGGAGAAGACAGAAAATAGGCCATCACTTCTACTCTGCCACTACTTAGCTGGTGACCTGAGGCAAGTCCTGTCCATGTCTGAGAGCTGTGGTATCTACATCCACATAGTAAGAGAGCTGGCATACATGCTTGTTGAGCTCATTTTCATCTTTGTTAATTGTTCATCTGTTGACATATCCCAATGGGAAGAAGTCATCAGGAGCTTTCTATTTAACTATGGTCTCTACTGTGCATCTCAGTGCATCAGTACAGGTATTATTTTTTTTCTTAATTACTTAGAACTTGCTTGTAGCTCTTCCACAAATTTCTCTAATCTTCTTTTACACTATAGAAGCAGGGCTGTGTGGATGTTAAGCCCTGCATATACATTTAATGTTATTTATCAACTTCCAGATTGGCACCTCTTCCATTTACATCTCTATCTCCAATGTTCCTCAAGTGAATCTAGAATTGAAATTTTCGGGTAGGAGCACTACACAGTTTCCTGTCTCACCAAGGAAATGTCTAAGCCGAGAATGACCTTAAACTGAACCATGTAGAATCATAGGCCCAAATGCCTTTAAGACCATAAAGTTAGTTTCATCTCTCAGTATTTTATTTATATTCTTACCCCAATCCTGTTCAACTTTGGGAGCTGAGTCAATCCAACTACTGTTCTTTACATTTTGAAAAAAATCAGAACATATATTCTTATTTTAAACTTGAATTTACCTTATATAACTTTCACCTATAAAATCCATTTTCCACGTGGCAGACCTTTTGTTATTTGTAGGTAAGGGTCATGCCTGCCAGCCCCCCTTACCACCTTCCGAGTATTGGCACAAGTCATCTTTAACACCCCTCCCTCCATCTTTGAGAATGCATCCTCTACCCCTTCCATTATATTTAGTCTGCATTCATGAGTCATTTTGATACTGTAGACAAAGGTCACAAAAATGGGCAGACATAGACTCCTTATCCCATCACCCTATAAAAAAAAATCAGTTGTTTTTGTTATTTTATATTCTTTTTTATGTTTTCCTATCTGTAGACACAAGTTTTACGTTCATTCCATTTATTTAATAATAAATATTTATTAAGCAGTAACTCAAAGTTAAGACACTATACTAGATGCAATTAATATAAGAAAAAATAGTCTTGTAGGACTTATATTTTACAGAGGATATAGACACATATATATCTATAAAAAATCTAATTTTGAACTATAACAAATTGAATCAAGGAAATATCCAAGGTGCTCCGTAAATGACAGACCTAATTCAGATATGAGGTGGGAGAAGATAACAGAGAAGTCCTGCGTGTGATATGGAGGGGGTGAGGGAAGTAAGCCCTTCAGGCAGACTCAACAACCTGTGTGATCATTATAGGGCAAATACAATTCCCCAGCCATCCTCAGGAGTTGAATGTGTTTTTTCCTTCATGCCTGATTGTTTGTATATGTTCTCACAACAACTTTGAATGATTTTACTACAGTTTTCTTTATAATATTCCATTTGTCACATCTCTCTATGGCTTTTAATGTTTTTCCTTGCTGATATGTCTCTGGATGGGCATCTTTACTATGTGCTGCCTCTCTTCCCTCTTTCCTATCGTTCTATTATGTGACACAATATCTAGGCATAAGATTACTAGGGCAAAAACTAAGGCTTTTTTATGATCCTATAAACATGTTTTTTTCCCAAAGGTTGCTTATACCGTTATTGACTCTGCATAAATATGCCATTCATGCCTCTGCCTTACCTACCCAGTATTATTGAGAATGTTTTAAGTGTTACATATATACACAGTTATATTTTGCTATGTCACACAGCAGAATAGGGGATGTATTTTGAGAAATGTTTTGTTAGCTGATTTTTGTCATTGCGTGACCATCGTAGACTGTAGTTATGTGAACCTGGATGTTAGAGCCTACTACACACTTAGGCTGTATGGTATAGTCTATTACTTCCAGACTACAAACCTGTGTAGCATGTTGTGGTACTGAATACTATAGGCAGTTAGAACACAGTGGTAAGAATTTGTGTACCTAAGCTATCTAAATATAGAAAAGACACAGTTAAAATATAACATAAAAGAGGGAAAAAATGGTACACCTGTACAGGGCACTTACTATGAATGGAGCTTGTAGGACTGGAAGTTGCTCTGAGAGAGTAGGGGAGTGAGTAGTGAGTGAATGCGAAAGCCTAGGGCATTACTACACACTTTTATTTGTCTGACAGTGCATAGGTTTGTTTACACCAGCATCGCCATAAACATATGAATAATATGTTGTCCTGTGACATTACCATGACAATGATATCACTAAACAATAGAAATTTTTAAACTCCATTATAATCTTATGAAGCCACCATCCCATATGTAATCCATCATTAACTGAAACGTCATAATGTGACACATGGCTATTTATATACACTAACAAACACACATTTAGGATCACATCTGAAAGTATAAATACTTTAGTACATTAGTTAATTAATGGTGCCTTTTTTATTCTATGACGTCAATTGCTGGAGGAAATGCCTCCTCTTCCGTTTTATCTCTTACATGAACTTATATATATAAATGATGTCTCAATATGTAGCATTGCTTCACTTAGTTCATTTTAATGTGGTTGCTATGTGAGATCAAATGCAAATACTACCCATTCATTGTATGTTTCTTTTTCAGGAACACCACATATTGCAGCAAAGTTGCATTTCCCTTGGAAGTTGTTCAAAAAGACAGCTGTTTCAATTCCCCCATGAAACTCCCAGTGCAGAAACTGTATATAGAATATGGTATTCAGAAGATCACTTGTCCAAACGTAGATGGATATTTTCCTTCCAGTGTCAAACCGACCATCACTTGGTATATGGTAAGGAAAATTAGACTATATTTTATTCTCTCTAATGGCGTATTAAATGACAATACTTATTTGCTGAGTTATATGTATAAGCAAAGGTATTTCTCTTCAGATTATCTGATTTGTTACATAATAACATTATGGAAATATTTTACCACATCTTCATTTTGTACCATTTTAAAGGAAATGGTATAGAGTACTTTGTCTCAGGCCACAATTTTTGAAATTACTCTAACTAGAATATCAAAACTACCTTATTTTTGTTAACTTCATGTGAAACACATTTTAAGAAACGTTGCCCACTTCTAGTTCCTGCTTCATGAAGTCATAAGCTGTTAATTTATGTGGCGAATTTCAACTCCTTGATTTGTCAGTACTGCATTTTATTATTTATGTATGTTTTCTTCTTTGCCGTCATTTGTGGGCACTGTCCATCTAAGGCCTCTTCCACATCTGAGGGATTTGGAAAGTGTTTAGCCAAAATATATAAGTGTTGGGAGGTAGCAATTGTAGTGGCAACATAGCTTTTTAATTGCTTCAACTTTCTACATACACCAAAGCCAAAACCCCATGGACAGAAGTTATAACATAACTCAGTGACATGTTATCCACATGAACCACTTTTGATAAAGTTAACTGAGACAAACCACCAGCAACCTGAGCCCATATGGGATCAGTGTTTGTGAAGAAGGAAGCATCTGGAAGTAGTGTGGTGTCTGTCGGACTTGACAGCAGGAGAGCACTGAAAGAGCACCAGGTACTTACCAGAGAGTGTGATGAGCCAATTTGAGAACAGGAGCTGAAACTGGGAGAGATTTCACTCTCTGACAAAGGGTGGTGCAAGAGACCTAAAACAAGAGGCACTGAAGGGGTGGGAAAAGGTGTAGTTCCTCACAACTCTGCAATATGACCAGCCATGTTAAGGAGAAGGTACAGAGAGTAGAATCAAAGGTAACCTGGATGAGGACAATATATAGGAAGGAAAGAGAAGGACTGGATAAAAACAGAGCAGGAGAAGAAAGCCAAAACATCTTAAGACCAAGACATCATAGTTTTGAAAAGATAACTTGGTGAACTTAGAAAATCCTTTAATATTTTAAAATTCAGAAAAATCTACTGTTTCCTAAATGAGCTAAAAGACGTTTTACAATGTTATAAGATGTGAAAGATAATAAGAATTAGAAACATCCAAAAATTATATATATTATGTAACTCCATACAAACTTAGAAGAAAATAAATCACTTTAGAAATGAAGCTAATCTAAGAGAAAGATAACAAAATAAAACACAATAGACAACGGAAGATTAATAGAAGGTGAAAGGGAGAAAAAAATTAAAATTAAAGATAATAAATAAATAAATGGCAAATACAATAAGAAAATTAGAATGGCCATAAGAATATCAGATAAAGTGGGCAATGAGGATTACCAGAGATAAAGATGACATTTTATAATAATGAAAGAATCACTTTATCAGGGAAACATAAAAATAACAAAAACTTATGTGCTTAATAACAATGCTTTAAAAATACACAGCAAAAGTTGACAGAACAGAGAGAAATAAAAAATTCTACAAACACAGTTTGTTGTAGATTTCAAAAGCTGAAAATTTTAAATTCTGTCTCTGCTTAAGTTGTTAATAATACAACTTAGGAGTCAACTTGAAGAGTCTTCTGTTGGCCAAAGATGAACAATTTGAGCCTAAATAATTTGAATTCAATTGCAATAGTTTAAATCCTGTGAAGTCAGGTGAAATTTTTAAGTTCATAATGACATTTCCACAAAATTTCATGAATGATATTTGGATGATAGGAAATCAGTTTATTATCTTAAAAACTGGTAAAGGAGAACAATCAGGTTCTCATTCCAGTTTTCCTGGAAGACATGTTACATTGGCTAATGAAGTGTTGTAACGGACTGTGTTTTGCAAAGTGTTTCTAATAATAAATGAAAATTTAATGATACAATTAGAGCATCATCTTCTTGCAACTCTTAGTGTATTAAATATAAATCTAAGCATTTAAGCATCAAAGACTACTAACATCACAAGATAAAAAACCACCAGACATGTTTCTTCTGACAAAAGAAGAAAATATTGTCTATTGATTCATATTACCAAATGAATTAAACCTGAGTCTGATTAAGCCTTTTGCTCCCACTGTCATTTTGCAGGAGATATGTAAATATCATAGGAATATCTTGAACTGCAGCATGAATATGTCATCAATAAAATCTAGTCTATGTGAATCTCTATGGGTCAGATGTTCTGGGTTCTTCAAAAGATAAATTATAAGAAAAGGAATGTCGTGAAATGGGACTGTATAGATTAAAAGAAACATAGGCATTTAAAAAGTAGAACTGTAACATCTAAGCATGCACATGTAGGTGAAAAATATATAAATAAAGTGATTTTACTTTATAAGTATAGACAGTGACTACTTTGGAAAGTAGTAAAGGAGGTATGATTGACATGGGCCATGAAGAAGGCCTTCAAGAGGGGTTGGCAAAGTTTCTCCAATTTGGGTGGGAAAATTCGTGTGATTGAGTGGCTTGGTCAAGCAGTGACTTCATAACCTGAAGTTCTGCTTTATCATTGCCGTGAACTAGTGGGCTAGGCAGTGAGCTGTGGGCCCGGCTGTTTGTAATCAAAATAGGATGTGTACGTTGATCCAACAATTGCTAAAGTGGAAGAAAAAAGTGTACACAGGGTGGGCTTGAGAATGGACTTAATGCGGGCTATTTCAAGGTTCTGCAATAAAAAAAGTAAGCAGAGTCACTAACAATATTTATGGGCTGAGTGGAAGAGGTTTCTAGGCCAGTATTAGGGCTCCAACCTCAGTTCTCTGAGTGCTGGTAAATCCAGATCGAGTGAGAGAGTTATGTGGTTCCCACCAGAAAGCCACTGATCCATTTTTACCAGAGCCATCAGTAAAAAGCATTAAAGCATTAGGTATGCGGGAGCAAACTACCTTTGTAGGCATAACTACAGGAGTCTGAGATAAGAACTGGAGTAGTTTGTCAGTGGGAAGGGCATGTTCTATATGGCCTGCATAATTGGAGAGTGCTATCTAAAGGTCTAGAAATGGGACAGGTCTGCTTCCAGTTCTTTTTTACTTAAGGGTATTCTTATGACATCAGGGTCATAACCTTGTAATTGATTGCATCATTTGCCACCTGTATAGTTGACTTTACTAATTAACTGGACATTGGGAGATAGTGTTATAGTCCTGGTATGCGAGCAAAACACCCATTCTAGGAAGCGCAGCCCTGGGGCCATCTGTCCTGTTAATACTGTTGGGGAATATTTAGTAGGAAAAACAAAACAGTTGGACTGAATATCATGGGTTCTATGCAATCTAGTTTACTCTGAGAAATAGCTTGCTCTATTTTATCAATTTCTCTTTTCGCTGCAGGGATTAAATGTCTGGGGGAGTCCAGGGGTTTATTGCCCTTTAGGATAGAAAACAGTTCTGTAATTTGTCAGTAGTTATGCCCAACGTGGGGTGAAGCCAGTTAATATTGCCTAGTAATTTTTGATAATCATTTAAGGTGTGTAATTGTCAGTATGCAATTTAACCTTTTGAGGTCCTACTGACTGGGAAGTTAGTATGTATCCAAGATATTTCCAAGGTGAGGACATCTGTACTTTTTCAGATGCTATGATTAAATCTCTTAACTGTGTATTCCTTATGACAGAGTCATATAAACCTAAAAGTACTGGCTCCATTGGAGCTGCTAGTAAAATGTCATCCACACAATGGATAATCTTGCAATTAAGAAATTCTTTTTTACTGGGGAAGAAAAGCTTGATTTACATGATACTGACACATGGTAGTACTGTGGACTGTTCATCATTCCTTGAAGAAGTACTTTCCAGTGAAATCGGTGAGTTGGCCTTTCATTGTTGATAGCTGGTATTGTAAAAGCAAATATTTTTCTGTCTTGTTCTGCAAGGGGAATGGTATAAAAACAGTCTTTTAAGTCAATAATGACTATAGGCCAATCTCGAGGATTCACTGTGGGGAAGGGAGCCCCTGCTGAAGGGGCCCCAGAGGTTGCAAACTATCATTGATAGCCTTTTGTAAGTCATACAAAAGTCTCCATTTGCCACACTTTTTGGGAATAGCAAAAATGGGTGAATTCCAAGGGCTGTTTGATGGTTCTGTATAGCTGACATTTAATTGTTCCTCAACTAATTCATGGGCTCCTTGTGATTTCTCTCCCTTTAAAGGTCATTGTTCTATCCAAATAGCATCTGGAGAGAGCTATGTCAGGGTTAGGAGAGGAATTACAACAGTGGCCATTATTAGAAAGGGGTCTGCAAAGTGACCCTCCATTGGGCTAATAAGTCCCATCCCCAGTGATTAACAGGTATGGGCATGATTGTTGTATAACTGCTTTTCTTCCCTCCTAATTGCAAGATATTAGGGGGTGTGCACTCTGCTTGGCTCTATGCATTTCCCAGTGCCAACAATTTTTTGTTTCTTAGTGACCCAAGGCCAAGTTTCTGGCCAGTTTTGATCTCTAATGATTGAAATGTCCACCCCTGTGTCCAATAAGCCAGTAAATTTTTTTATATCTGATTTTTAAGATAACCATGGGTCTCTGATCAGGGATTGATTGGTTCCAATATACTCCTGTGGTTCTTGTTCCTCCAAAACTTCCTTTTTTCCTTTCCCTGTGTGTTGGGGACTCAGTATAGTGAAAGTAGTAACTGTGCTATCTTTGAACCAAGAAGAAGAATATGCAGACCTTTGCATTCTATCATAACCAATATCTCACCTTGATAATCATTATCAGTTACCCTGGTGAGCACATTGATTCCTTTACTGGATAAGCTTGATTGCCCTAGGACCAATCCCACTGTTCCCATAGGCAGTGGGCCCCAGATCCTTGTTGCAACCCTTTTAGGGTCTTCTTCTTCTTTTAGCACTAACTCATTGGGGAAGAATAAGCCCAGTCTTGTCCTCCTAGAGGTGGCTGCTCTGAGAGAGAGGACTGTAGACCTTCCAT